GTCCTGCTGATAGTTCAGGACTGTTAGTGGTTACCTGACTATTTGACAGAAAACATTTCCTCTCCTTTATTTAACCTTTGACTCATGCATGTAAAAGTTTTATCAGAGCTATAGTAGAAGCACCAGTGAGGTGGAAGTCTACTTACGGCAACAAGGGTTCTGCGTGACTTTTATTCAAAGTCTGAGCTCCTGCCTTGTGGCTCATTTGGATGAAAAGAAAATGCTAAACACGTTTTTAATTAACCATGAAATATCTTGGCCTCTTGCTTTTGTGACAGGCAGTGGCTGTACTTCTGAAGAAAGACCACTGTATTCTCAACCAGGGAATACATATCTATTAAAACAATATTGCGTAGGTTTTGATGTTTTTCTTAATTATGGGAGAAATGTTTTGTGGCAACCTCAGAGAAATTGTTGTATGTTGTTGGAGGTTGTTGTACGTTTGCAACTGTGACACGAGGCATGCAAAGACAATGTCTACAATGAAAGCAAAATAAACAAGAAACCAATAATGGTTTCGCAGTTTAAGAACATAAATTATTTTTATTTGAAGTTTGGGCTTCTAAATATATTAAAATTGTAAATTAAAGCCCTGTTTTTCTTCTGTTTTATCTACTGTGAAGGGCCTTCATTGATAACCTTTTGACATTTTCGTAAGTCAGCTAACTATATATGAAATGCACTGCTCATAAATAATTCTATGAATACAACTATTATGGTAAGGTCTTTCCAGTAATAGACTTGAATTTTGATTTTTATCTGTTGTTAAGTTACACATTAGTGTGACGGTTTTGAGTTAGGAGTAATATATTACAGGCCTTCTATGTTAAATTCAGCCATTTCAAAACTATTTTTTGCAGACAGTCCATTTCTGCAGTGATTTGAAAAAAAAGTTACCCTGCCTAACAGATGTTGATGGACATTTGTGTGCTGCATGACTTTTCTGTACATAGACTAGTTCTTCCATGCTAAACAAAGATTAAATAATTTTGCAAGACTTGCTAACGGGACAAGAGAATAAGATTCTTGTACCTGTAATGCTTCTGGTTTTTAGTTATCACATATAACCATATATGAGATAAATATATATATTGATATATAAACACATATATCACATTGGATAAAGCACTGTATAGTGCTTTATCCAATACGATGTACTGAATAAAGATGTAAAGCCTGTATCATGGGAATGTTCATTTATGAATAAATCTATTTACTAGAGTAGTCCAAATAAATTAATAGGATTATTAACACATGGGCTTGCAGAATCAGCCTGTGATATAAGAGGACAAAAATGTTGCTTGTCAGTCTTGAGGATGTTACAAGATAAAAAGAGCTTATACTTGCTCTTTGAGTTGAGAATCTGTAATACCACCAGATAGCTGTCTTTATTATGAACAAACACAACCTGTGTTTATGTTTATGTTTGAATGCAGAGATGCATTGTATATGCACGCACAAATGCACTCTTTATTGCTTGTGAAAACAACAAATGTAACAATACTTTATAATACTGAATTAATAGCAATTAATAAACACATAAAAGAAAAATACAAAGCGAACTTTTTTGCTTTCCAGTAGATCTTTGTAATATTTTGTTCCAGTAGGAACAGTATAATTAAAAATATTGACAAAAACTTTTGCAATTAAACTGTGCTTTTGAAGAACTGAAGATAATGTGGAAAAGAAACAGAGGACAGATCTCAGTGGCCTTTGGTTTCATGCCACATAATATAATGGAGTACTTGTTTTGATTTCCTTAATTTTTCAGGTTTAAGAGGCATGTTGAAATTATATTAACTTCATGTTTGTGGTTATAAGGCTTAAAGCAATTCCTTTTCCAATCTTTCATCTCAGAAAGGAAACTGGCATTTTTAAACTATGTTCAAGTAGTCTGTTTCTATAATATTTTGCTTTGCAGTTTTATTACATGAAGACATAGAAGTGTATCATCAACCTGATTTTGCTAAGGGAAGAAATTCTTGTATGAGTACTCTGGTCAGCATGCCTTGCACTATGAAAGAAAAATCTCTCTTGGCTTTCTGCTAGGGTTCATTAATTTCAAATAATGTATTTGACCTTTTTATGCATAGACTTAAAAATTGCATCTAATTTTTCTTTTCACAGTAAGAGGGGAGTTGAGATCATAGATACAAGAAAGAAATATGGTTAATATTTTATTGAAGTAGGAGCATTTATTTTTATAGAATGCTGTTCATAAATGTTCGTTATGAAAAATGAATGATCAGATAAGATTTTTATTCTACAGCAAAATATGCTGGGGCGATGTACACTACTAATGCAGAGGTGATAGCAAAAGTCTGGAAAGCTTTTAGACAATCTAACCCATTTGTCTGTCCAGTGTTACAAAAATACTTTGCCATTTGTACCTTGACTTGGACCAAACGCTGGAACAGTGTTCCGGTCCGCCGTTCGCAGGCACTCGGAACGCCGTGGTGCACAATTTTGTTTGCCTATCTACTCTGCCTTTCAGCGACGTGTAAAGCCAGGCTAACACGGTTTCAGAGGGTAGTAGACCATGAGTCCTAGGTGGGAGAAAACTCAAAGATCAGAGGGTATAGGTGCCGTTATGATGGGTGTTCTACAAGGGCGTGCAGCGTTCATGCCTGTAAGCAGTTACAGTGGTTAAGGCCTTATGCAGGTGCAATGCAGTAAATTTTATGACTATATAAGAGTATATTGAAACACAAATGCAATAATGTCACACCTTAACTACTGTCAACAACACTAAGCATTAAAAATGTCTGTGGGCATTAAGAGGTTGATGTAGTTTTGATGAACAGCCAGTACAGTGTATGGTAAAGTGTGATAAAGACATTAATACAGTGGCTCTAAAAGAAGTCATTGCCTCTGTGTCTCTTTGGCTTGGCAAGAGTAACTTCATGATGGCTTTTTGTGTGTGGGGTTTTCTTTTTTGTGTGTTTTTTTTTTTTTTAAGAACTAGCAGTTAAACATTTATAAGGATAGCAAAGTAAGATTGCTAGAAAATGCATAAACTATAACCATGTTCAGATTTCTGCTATTCTCTTTCTTTGCCCTAAGAATTGGGATCTGTTTCTAAAGCCTTGCCAGCTGCATACTGAAAACAGAGGTGTTACAAAGAAAACATAACCCTTCACTGGACTCACTACACAAAAGTAGACTTGGCTTCTCTACTAGCCAGGGTTTCCCCTAATAGGTTTCCTTTTCCTATCAGGGAAAACATTTAGGTTCTGCATACTGGGCTCTTTCAGTTGCAGTTAGCGTGTTTCCTGAAATATATAAATTTGAAATTTTAAGGTCTGTCCACAGTGCACACTAAAGCTTTTAAGAAATGCATTGAAAGTATGTCTGTGGATTTACACCACACTGAATAACAAAAGTGTGTAGTATTGTTAGATGCAGGTATGAAATGTGGTACAAACATTGCAGGCTTTATTTCCTTCCCAGCCCCCCTTCTAATCTCAAACAACTAATATTAACGATACTATTACCATTTTAGTAATGTGCTTTGTAATTAAATTCTAACAGACATAAGAAGGTGTGTAATTTTTAAATAAGGAGTAATTTATACTGGTACTATTTAGTTTGCCAGACTTACTACATCTGTATCACGGGCTTAATAGTGATTATGGAAAGGTCTGTAGTGTGCGGTCACTGATGATGTCACTGTTAAAGGTAGCTATTCTGTAGGTAGATGGCAAAAAAATGGAACTGATGCCACTGGGTTTGAGTTTCTTTTCTCATGCTCTTCAGTCATGTCTTATTTATCTTGGATTCTGTTTAACTCGCTGAGAGTATTGCACGCATATGGGCTGCAGACTTGCTTTAGGAGTCTGCTGGGTATTCGTGTATTAATGTGCTGTCTGTTTGCAATAATGGTGAATGCTCTCTTGTTTTTAGAAGTTAATTCTATCTATAGAAATGACTTTATAGGGAGACCAATATTCTTACATATAATGTGACACCTGTCCTATTGCATAGTGTCGCACCACTGGTCAAATACAGGGTACCTGGTCTGCCCAGATAAAGTTGTTTTGGGTTCCCCAGGGAAGCAGCAGTTCTGGCTGGTACCTGTTGTACCACCAGGTACAACAGGATGTAGAATTTCAAAATGGCAAATAACATAAGTACTGAAAGCCGTAACAATTAAAGATAATGGCAATGTGATTTGGCAACGTTTAAAATGTTTTTTTGATGCCTTTAAAAATAATGAGAAGTAAAAGTACTATAAGCTAATCTGGGCTTAATGGAACTTCACGCAGGTGTCCAGCGTAAAGAACCGTAGCTTCTCTAGTAGCTATCGGTTATGTGCTGTTAAAATTGTGGGAAAAAGTTTTGTATGCATTTTTTTAATGTAGAAATATTATAAAAATGTGCAAGTCAGATTAATCGTAGTAGTATTTTAGAAGCACTGGGAAAAATATATTGATATTTTATTAAAATGCTTTTTCCCTCCTGTTTTAGTTACCTTCCGTGGTTTGAGGTATACTACAAGCTCCTAAACACCCTGGCAGATTATTTGGCTAAAGAACAGGTAATTTTAGATATTCTATTTCTTTGTGTAAATCCTTTTCCTTGAAACAATAGTCAGCATTTGAAGTGCTGTGAAGTGATTCTATACTGTTTAAAAGTTTATGATGTTAGTAGAATTTAGAAGCAAGCTTTTACATTCATCATACTGAAATTTAAAGATCTGGACATACAGCTGCCACTGTCACTTGAATCCCACATTACTCTTAAAAGCTGCTGAGAATATACCTTTATAAAGTGTCAGTCTTACCATAAACAAATCCTGGGTGAAGTGTGAGCAAAGTGTCACATCACTGGAGAATTGTATGACGTATTGATTGTAAACTGTAGATCTCTGGAACTATCTGATTATCAGTTACAAACACTTTTTTTCAGAACTGCGTAAAATATGATGTACTGTTTCACCCTTCATATTAACTAAAAACTACCTCTCGTAATTCTGTCATCTCAACTAGCAAGACAAAATTACTTGCAGCATTTGGTGAAGAATCATGATAGTTTAGTTTGCATATTCATGAGCAATTAGGCATATTCCAGGATTATGCAGGAAAGGAAATACTGGCATCTGTCTTTACTGAGAACATTAAAGCTATACCTTTCTGCTTTAACTATATTAGTGTACTAGATTGTAATTAAAAAAAAAAAAAAGCATCAATAGTCAGCCATATGCTGTAGGCTGGAAAAGTTGACATTTCAAGAATATATGAACTATAGAATAAGCAATTATTGCGCATTATAGTAAATGGACTATAGAGAATGAAGGTATTTTATGTAAAAACAAAATGCAGTGGTAAAGTTTGGTGTTAGTGGTGTTTACATAAAGTGAAGTGTGGAATACATTTAAATCTTGTAAATGGTATAATGAGACTTTGGTTTTGGCCCTGATTTCACTGTAATAGTAAAAATTGTTATAAGGCTGTATCTGACAGAAAGGTTAGGGATTGTCTTCGTCTTTGTTGCTTGATCCCTGGTTCTGGCATTGCAGCTATTACTGCAACCAATTTAAGTTGCTGCGTTATAAGTTTGTTGTCCTGTACGCCTAGAAAACTGTTTTGATGGCTCAGAAGGTTTTAGCAGTGTACAGAAGTATTTTATTGTATTGCCTAGTGCCGTATCTGCTGAGGAGGCTGCTAGAGAACGTTGCTCCCTCCTGGCCCAGGCACTGTTTGTCTGACCCAGAGCTAGACCCAAAGTCTTGTTTATTAGTATGAGATTCAGCAACGTCATTAGTCTTGCGGGGAGAGGTGGAAGCTTCCTGCAAATTCAAACAATATGTTTAAAGGCTGGCCCTGGCTTGTCACTGATATTTTTGGTTTTATTTTGGCAACAAAAAAATTTAATCTCCAGGAACAAAAACCCTAAACCAAACAAAAACTCCAGCCCAATCTCTTTCCCAAGTAAATGCCTCTTTTAGAGACCAGGGTGGGGGATCCTAGTTAAACCTGGTAGCTGAATGTACTTTTTAGTAAACCTTATTAACTGTTTTATGTGCTCTGATGCATAATTTTTAAAGTATACAATATAGCTATGTAGCTGCATATTTAGTAAAACTTTGAATAGACAAATATCACGGCTAACAGTTTTAGGAAGATGATGTCCAAGATGCACAGACCAGCTAGACGTGTTAACACTAATTTCAGCTGCAAATAATGTGATTCATTTAAGGGGTATATGGGGAAATGTATAAGAGACTGACTTAACTTGTGGATACGATAATTTTCTGAGATACAAAGTTGGCCTGAATTTTATACTTAATATTTAAATACTTCACTGTGAATTTCAGTTGTCTTTCTCATGAAATATATATATTTGTATATATATTGTTTGACATGTAGCAGATGGTAGTTAATCAGTTTTTATGCAATAATTAACTACCTTTTAAAAATATTCCCTATAGGAAAATGACTCAAATGATTTGTTAAGATCATTGTATAGCCATCCTGTGCCAAAGGCGAATGCGTTAGTCAGTTTAAGTGTGGTAAGTATTCTCTGTTTAACTCCTACTCCTATTACTGACTATAAAATAGTAGGCAAGATTGAAACAAAAAACCCCAAACCCTTTGTAAAGAGTAAACTTATGTTGCTTCCCATCATTAACTGGCTTGGACAGCTTTTTTTTTTTTCTCCTCTGTGCAGAATAGAGTTTGTCTCTGTCTCATGTTGTTCTCTTAAAGTCAGAGTCATAAAGAAGCAGAAATTTGAATTTTGCTCTATGGTGAGAAAGTAAACTGCAGTGGGATCTGGCAGTGCTAGAACTACTTTTTTGTGCTTCCAGCTGTTTCATGTAGATAATTTTGGTTTCTCCTGCTGTGAATCAGGAGACATTAACTCCGTTTTATTGCCTCTTATGTCTGAGTAGGTAGACTTGCAGGATTGGTCAAAAATCTGTGTAAGCTGGCTTCTTTCCCACCTTCCTTCCCCTTCTTCCTAGTTTTGTTCGATCATGCAAAAATGCTGTAGGGGAGATGGTAGGAGAATTGTACTGCGTTACATGAAACTTTCAGCACATTTAGGGGAAAGAACATGTCCATGCCTACCTTGCTTTTGTGCCCTGACTTCTCGTGATGTGGGGCTGGACACTGATAATATGGCAAGGTGGTGTTGCTGCAGAAACATCAGAAAGGGAGCCTGTCACTGTTACAGTTCCTGAAGTTTCCAACAGAAGTAGCAGATGGACGCGTGTTTAAATCCATTTGTGGAGCCCGCATGAAATGTAAAGCAAATACAGAGCCTCTGCTGTCTCCGAGTCATTGTTCCTGTTCACAGCACCCGTACAACTGCTGCACGCATAAGTAACTGTGTGCAAATAACTGCTCCTTGGTGGAACTATCACGGTTTGCAGGGCACAGAAAGAAGTGATTTTATAAAGGCTTCTCTTACGCACATACTGAAATATCATTAGATTATTTATCTTAACCTTATTTGTGTCATTTGCTGTTACTTTTAACTCATTTTAGAATTGAGCTCAATACTTTGAGTAAAGTAAGCACAGACTCTAGAAAAGCTTCTGGCCTTATTATGAAGGCATACAGAAATGGAGAGTCTACCACTTCTGTTCCAGTAGCGACTCACCCTTGCTGCTTAACATAATGCTACCTTTATTTTATTTTATTTTAATTAGTCATATTTCCGATTCCTTGTGATGTTTTTTCACTAGGCTATAGAAACCTAACATTTCCCCCCCCTTGAACAGTGCCAATCCAATGTATTTGGAAGTCCTTCCAGTCTCGTGTTTGTTTTTTTCCAGAACAACGTACTGGTTTTTGAGGCTGCAGTCAGAGTTGTTTCTGTTGCTAAGTTTTTTCTTTGTTGTCAGTGCAATAGTTTCAAGTTATTTTTCAATTCATGGTACCTTTGCCAAGAATACTTCTGTATATCAAACAGTATTTTGCTGTCATTTATTATAGTATTATAACCAATTCTAATTTGGTGACCCTAAGATGCTTTATAAAGTCCTTTAAAAATACTACTGTGTTTCAGAGGGACATAGAGAAGTTTTAAAGATATTTTTCCTTGCATTTCTTGCAAAACGTTACTGCCTGTTGCTATCAGTATTGCAGTGCATCTTGCACAGAACTCGCCTACTTCAAAATGAATGTTGTGGTGAATACAGTTGGCAACACTGGGATGACAAATTGCTTGCAATAAAGTTGACGCTTGCTGGTTTTATCTGACTTTTGAATTTTTTTTTCCTCAATTGTCTCTTGTTGCCAGTAGCTTGCTACATCAAAGAGTTTTATAATCTTTTTAGCTGAACAACAATTATCTAAATGCAGGCCTCTTGCCAACTGCTTGGCTGCAGGTACAGTCGAGCAAATATTGTGGGTTCAGTCAGGGCAGAGCAGGAAGGAATAGGTTAGCCTGAGTCAGACGCTTGCTGGATCTACAGGCATCTCTGGTTTTGTAATGCTCAGTGCTGCAGGGAGCAGGGAACGTTTATGGCCACTTTCAACTCTAACTTTGTGTGCCTAATCTCATATTGATGTTCCTTTCTTGCTCCTCATATATTGTAAATAAGCTAGACTGGAACCATCAGTAGTAATGGACTTTAAAAAGAAGTTACATTCTGAAAAACAATTGTAGTAATGACATCATGAGGTGGCTTTTGATTGTGCCAGGATGAGTCTAGTTCAAATTTCGTAATGCAAAACTAAAAGGATCCCTCCCCTCCATTTACTCAGGTATGCGGCAGGGTGAGGCTCACAGACATTGAAGCGGTCTTTAGATGACAGACCGCAACAGCACTTAGGGTTGCCCGTATACAGTCATGCAGAAGTCATGCCCACTATCTGGATACCTGGTGTTTCCCAGTAATTTTTAGGCAGGAGGACACCAAAATGCCTTGGTCCAGTTAAGGACCAAGTTCTGCTCTCACCTTTTAGTCCCAGTAGCAAATATTCTGCAGCTGCAATTTATGAGGGGTGATCATCTGTTCTTTGAAACCTGAGATTGAATATAATTTATGTCACTTTTATCCACAGAGGGCTAACAAAAGTGATTTTTTTTTTTTTTTTTTTTAAAGCTAGCTAAGTTAAGTCTGAATTCAAATGGGGGAGGAATACAAAGAATAAAACAGTTTTCAGCCAATATTTTAAACATGGAATGTTACAAGCATTAGAGTCAGCTTTGGCCTTTTTATTGGAAAACTAAAAAGTCAATTGTTCAATCTTTCTCTCATCTTGCATAAGAACCAAGAGATGATATTTGCAAGTGAGCAAGTGTTGAAAAAACAGCCTTGTCTTGTATCGGTGAGTTTAAAAGGCCCTGACTATCTAAAGCCTATTGTAATTAAAGAAATAATTACTTGCTATAGGATATCTCTTTTGATTTCAGGCTTATTTATACCTGTCCTTTGGGAAAGTCTGCTGCTGTCTTTAGCCTATAAGAGCAGTCTAATATTAATGTACCTATTCTGTTTAAATCAGTCTAACTTCAGAGCTCTCTGTGTGTCAATCCTCTTGTAAAAACCGCAACCAAAATCAAACCCTTAAACTGATGAAGAAAACTTGCATTTTCTAGTGTCCTTTTTAGAGAAAACTTCATATAGGACATCAACTATTAATTTAACATCTCTTCCAAGGTCGTACATCTTCCTAAGGGAGTTCACAAAACTGTGCAAGGACTCCATACCACATTATTTTTGCTGCTTTATGACTCTTAATGACTGCAGTAATGGGTCTTTGCTTCTCATAGTTCTGACTTCCGTTTCAGTTTAATGAGTAAAATATTATTACTTTGTTAATTATAAATAATTACTTCTCTAAGTTATTAACTTCATTACTCAGAAATCTTTTGATAAATATTCTGTGACCTTATTACATATAGGAAATCATTTTCTGTTCTCACTATACTACTGAAGAATGTAGGCATTCCATTAATCTGAACCTTTCCCTGTTCTTGACCAAAGAAAAAAATTTAGCTTTTTTTCCTCTGTTGATGCAAAACAATAACCTGGGATATTTATTGTGCAAGTGCTATGATGTTTATGGGATGCCTTTTTTAAGCCAATTTTTTTTTTCTTAAATTCTAAACTATTGCCAAATGGCCTAATTTGTGGGGAAAATTTTCTATTAAATGTATCAAGCTGGTTTAATAAGTCTCCTACACAGAGTTAATAGTATTAATAATTTTTTTTTCTTGAACACAAGACACATTTAATATCTTACAGACTTCCTTTATGTTTTAGTATATCTTTTTCAAGTTTGACTTGAAAACAAACTGTGTCTTTGTGTTGTTAATTGTAACTTTAAAATACAGTATAAAACCAAAGAAAATCTATGAAAAATGTCAAAATTTGGCTAAAAACAAATAAAAGCTAGAAAGTCAATAATTATCACATTTACTTAATATGCACTTATTTTTTTTTCCTTCAAAATTTAGACTAATATGCACAGATGCCTTAAAATGACTGAGCTAAATCCATGTCTGATAACTACTAAAAGCACTGGACTAATGAGAGTAATTTAAATTACATCTGTTTTTGGTTTAATCTGTTTTATATTTACATCCTAGATGGCCTCAAACTAAGATGCATAAAATTGCTAATATATTTCATAAACGATTACAGAATCTCAAGCTATCAGACCTTGCATTTCTCTTAGCTCATTTTTGATTCAAAGATGTTTGAAAAGAGATGAGAATGTATATCAAGTAGTAGTATTTCTATTCTTATTAATTTTCACATGTGGATGATTTTTCCTTTTCTATTCTGAACTTATATTTTGTCCTCTTAACTTTTTTTTTTTGGTTGCAATTTTTAAATTGACGCTTAAGTTAATCAATGCTACTCTTGGGCTCATGCCAGCATTTAAAGCTATCGTAATTTCAGTGTTATTTCAAAACTGTAGCCCAGCATTTTGTCTCCTTGGTTTGTGTGCTGTGCTGAAGCAGAGCTTGTCATTTCGTGTCGTGATCTGCTTAATTCTTTGTCTAGTAGCGGTAAGAATGCTATTGGAAAAATGGCTATTTGCTTAAACAAAGATGGGGTTGGAAATCCTAAATGCTGATTTTTTAAAAAAAGAATTTTTGGTTTCTGTGTGCATAAATTATTAATTATTTTTCCCCATTGATTAGCACTCGTATTTCATTACTCCTGATATAACTGGATTGCCAACAATCCCTGAAAGCGTAAGTATGCAGTTTCTTTTTTAAATATTTAGGAGAAATCTCAACCTCATTCTGTGGGTAGGCCTGAACTCTGCTTTTAAAATAGGAGATTTTTTTTTTTCCCAGGACTGTTTTTAGAATATGATTGATGTCTATTATTACAACCTTTAGCTAGTAGTTACTGTTACATTCACCATTAACCCATTTGAAAGCATTAACAGGGCATTTTTGACCACTGCTATACCCACCCTTTTTTCATGATTACTTGGCTCGTTTGCATTTATTTGGCTTACTTAAGTAAAATATATTCTACTTCTGCACCTCATGTTATTTGAATACCTGCCCTTTAAACGCTGCATTGCTAAGCTGCAAATTCAGCTATGAAAATACGCAGTTATTTTCTGTGTAGGGAGGCATCGTTTCAGGCTTTCTGGAAAGATGCCATACCTGCTTTCGTTTGGATGGTAACCGTGCACCAGGAATGGTGATGGTTGTTGTTATTTTTTCTTTTAATAAAGACCTCCATTCTGCAGATGCCAAGTACTTGGTGGTGCCGCGGGTAGATTGCAAACGCGCAATCTCGGATCACGTTCTCTATGATGAGTTCAGCTGGATAACATCTAATGACAGAGCTTCGAAACTTTCTGCTTTCCGCTCTCGCGTTTACGTCTGGAGCTGGATACGGATGTAGAGATGTGCATTTTTACGCTTTCAAATAATAACTTCCTTCTGAAAGTTAAGCTGCCGGGGGGGTTCACCACCGTACGAAATCACGCGGTGCCGCAGAACTCCTTGGAGCTTGGTGGCTGTAGTGGCGCTCGTGCGGCGCGCGGGACGGAGGTGTGCCACAGCCCTGCCGCGGTCCCTCGGTGAGGCGCGGC